TGATTGCAGCCTGAACAAAGAGCCGGGGAGGGAGGAGCAGACCTCTCCCCAGAGAAGGGGGTGCATGGGCCACTCTTCACAGTATATTCTGAGCATCTCATCCTTCCGTCTGACTGTGAACTGTGGACCCTCCCACTGAAGCCAAACCATTTTTCTTTTCTTCACCTGCCTCAGAAACTAAAAAAACTCAACACAACACAGATAAAAAACAAATAAAAGTTCTTTCAGTTATTTTCTATACTGACCCTTTCACCTTCATTGTTACCACCCTTCCTGAATCATGGCCAAGTGTGGTAACACATACCATCCGAGCTGATGAATTTCCATAGCAAATGAGGGAGTCGCCCCTGCCTCTAGACCCTTGCCACTCTGCCCGGTGAATCTTTGTGCAAACATCTGGGATGTGGGTCCCCTGCTAGGGACCTCTCCATCCCTATTCTGTTTTGGCACCTTGGTTTGCTCAGCAATTAAAGCATTTTCTATAAAGCTGAAGAAGATCCCAAATTTGGAGTTTAAAAATTGGGGGAGGTGAGTAACTCCCCTCTCCTACTGTGGTGGCCCATCTCACACCTTCTTTTGCATGGCAGGTGCCACTTTGTGTCCTCTTGCTTTGTGGCCAGGCCACCTTGTTTGAGGTTTAGAGGTCCAGGATGCCTCACAAGCTGCACACATTGTCAAAGACAGGAATATTCAGCGCAGGTCAGAACGGGGATCTGGGTTGGCTCTTCGGCTCCAATTGTGTGTGGGTGAGGGAGAGACTAAAGGCTGAGCTCCGTCTCATACCGCAAGCCTGAGAATTCAGGGAGCGGCAGGGAGAGCTTGGCATTTACTCTGAAACCCACACCTCCCCAGTTGCCAGTCAGCAGAGATGTTGCATGTTGATTTTACATATTCACTTTTCTTCCTCCCCTCTGAGAATTCTGAACTTGCTTCATTTTTTTGTTGTTTAAAAAATAAAAAAGAGGGAAAGCAAGGCAGCCCTGCCTTGTTCAAATGATCACGGATCCCCCAAGTGCAGCCTGTGCCTTCCAGCCCTGCTGGGAGGGGCAGGAGAGATGGCATCTCACCTCACCTTTTCTATCTGGGTGCTCCTTCTGCACCCCAAGTCTCTGGAACTGAGGACACAGCAGCTGGTCTTTGCACCTTTCACCTCTCCTCCACCCTGCTGTCAGGCCCAGCCTCCGGGGTACCCTTTCCTCGTGTGCCTCCACCATTGGAGAAGCTGCAGGATACAGCCCAGGCTTCTCACGTGTCACCTGAGGACTCGCAGCGAGCTCAACTTGATGTTGTCCCACTTCAGTCAGGCCAGTTTCTGCACTGCCTCCTGAACATGCACACCCCAGCCTTCCTACAGTGCCCTCCCCTTCCCCTCTTCCTGTTCTGCCATGCTCCAAGGGGAGGGCCCACTCTGCTTTGGGCTTCTCTAGGTAGGGCCTTGGAGCGGGGTGGAAGGCTGGTCTCTTCTGCTAGACTGTGAGCTCCTGGAGGCCGATAGCCATGTCTCACTCATCTCTGTATATTTTGTGTGTCTGCTCAGAGTCCTGCCCATTATGAACAGTCTATGACGAATGGATGGTTTGCGCATGGGATGGGGAGGAGGAGGGATGTACTCTGGCTGAGCCTGCCTCCTTGAGGCTCCCCTACCTCCTTTGTCCTGAGATGGGACTAGCTTACTGTCTTCCACACTACATTCTCCCTACACCCCTCCTTCTTCCAGCCCTCTGTAAGATCGCTCAGGCCATCTCGAGAGGCACTGCCCTGACCACATCTCTCCCTTTTGCCCCTTCCTCAGGGTTCTTTCATGTTATGACTCCCCACCAGGACGTGCTATTTCAAGTTCGCCATTGTGCTTTGCAATTCTGATAGATTGGAAGATTCCCAAGGGCAGGAACTATATTTGGAGTCCAAGAGAGTACAGAACATGGGCTTTGAAATCACACAGTTTCCTTTCTGTAAAATGGGGATAATATCCAAACCTATCTTGGAGGGTCGTCATGAGGATTAAATGAATTACTGCATGTGACGCTTGGTCCCTGGGATATATAAAGGCTGGTAAATCAGAGCTGCTGTTATTACTCTGGTAATGACTACGTGGGGTGCCCTGATGGGCTTCACTGCAGCTTTGTTAATGGATTGCAAGCATGGTCAGGGGGGAGCCGGGCTGTTACAGCGGACAGTGGACGTCCTCTTTCCTTCTCTTACCTGGCTGTTGTCTTCCCACCCCCACCACACCCCAGGCCCACCACACCCCAGGCCCTCAAATAGTTAGTGGTACAAATTCACTTATAATCAGAAATGAAGGTGGAATGATGCAGGGACAATGGCAAGACTGCTCTGACTGGACAAGGTGTGAGCTGGGGAGAAGAGAGATGAAAAAATATTAGCAAGCATAGGGGGCCAGCCCAGTAGGGCCCTCGTGACACTGAGTCCCCATTTGAGACTCGTAATAACAGCACCTTCTGTGTGCTCGGACTGGTCTCACATCCACCACTCCCTCCATGCTCACAGCACCTCTAGGGGTTGGCTCAAGAGGAGGAAATGGGAGCTCAGGAAGGCAATCTGCCTTGCCCTTGATCACACAGCTCAAAAGAGTTAAAAGTGAAAAACAGGCCTCCCAACTCCCAGTCCAGCTGGCCAGTGACCTCTCCCTGCATCAAGGAAGTAATGTTGTGAGAATGAAGTGGCAGCTGTGAACCCCTCAGGAGCCGCCAGGTGAGGCTGAAGAGGACAAAAGGAGCTCGCCACTGCAGTCAGGCGGCGTGGTGTCTGGCAGGGGCCAGCTAGACATCTGCCCCTTCATCTGTTGATGGTGTCCACAGGGCCGCTGTGCCTAGCCGGGAGAGAGTAAGTTGCGGGTGGGTGCAGTGCACACTGGGTTTTATTGCTGGGCTCCCCATCGGAGTTGGGGAGGGGCTCAGAATAGTAAAAGCACTGCAGTTTCCTTTAAAGAAACCGAGGGGCACCACTCAGAATCTGAGAGCTCTCACCTCTACGATGCAGCCTGCTGGGGGCCAGCACAGGTGCAGACTCTCCAGAATGGGTCACCAAGCCCCGTGATGAGGGTCTTGAAGCCCCTCCAGTTGGAGTTAATGTCCGCCATCCTCCACAGCCATGGCCGGTGTGGCAGCTCTGTTCCTGCCCATCTGTTCTGCCTTGGTGACGAATGCCCTCCTGTCTGACTAGACTGTGGGTGCCTGAAGGGCAGAGAGCAGCGCATCTTGTTATCTGTTTCCTCAAGGGCCTGGCCCCTGCTCAGCACACAGCACTAGGTGTAGAATAAATGTCTGATGGGATCCAGGTAGGACGTTTCACACGCACATCCCCAGGTAGGACATGAATCCTTCTATCCAGCCATCCCTCCTGAGCGCCTCCCGGAGGCCAAGCCCCGTGTGAGCTGCTGGGTTACACAGCCTAGTAAAATTCGGCTCCTGCTCTCGGTGCCTCAGCACTCTCTTGCTGAGCGACAGGGATGGTGGCAGTCTGTGTTCTAGTCTTCCTCACGTGCAGACTGTGGTGGCTCCAGTCGGCAGTGCAGGCTTCTGCACAAGCCTAGGGGAGGCTGCCCTAGTCGCAGGAGGTAGGATGAAGGGCTGCACCCGGATGTTCCCAAGCCCCTAGCAAGAGCATTCCTCATGCTGTTTTTGTGACCCAGCCTGGGGCCAAGAGCACTCCTACATCACTCTTGGCATAGGCACGGTGCGGAGGGGCATGGCAGAACCCCACTGCGGCCGCCTGCCTCTCTCAGCCCGCCCGGGGTCCCAGCAGCCGGGGACTCGGGGCGGGGGTTCGCGCAGCTGCAGCAGCCTGGCGGAGCCGCATGTGCGCGCGCGCGTGCGCGGAGCGGGTGGGGAGGGCGGCGCGCGCCCCGCGGAGGCCCGAAGCTCTTTCCCACTCCTCGTGCGTCCCCTGCGGTCCCTTCTCCCTGCGCGCCGTAGCCAGACCCACGTGTGCAAAATCGTGGTGTGTGTGTGTGTGTGTGTGTGCGCGCGCGCGCCCCGGGCCGGACAGGCCCCCGTGTGCATAGGGGGCGGCCGCCAGCTCAACAGCGAACGCGCTTCTGTCCCCCTGCAGTCCTTCTGCCCAGACCTTTCCTCGGGCTTCCTGGGGTCGCTGGTACCTCCAGCCGTCCCCCTCGCCCCGCCGCCCCCTTTCTCGGGTGAAAGTGAGCAGCGCTTGCCGGTGCAGGCTCTGGCTCACCCCAGCGTCAGAGCGCTTGACATTTAGCGAGGGTTCGCGGCGCACTCGTGTAGGCACACGGCAGCACGCTAATCCTATTAAAGATACGGTGTCATTGGGGAAGGGGTGGCTCCCCTAGCGGGGCCGGGTAGGCCTCGCGCCCATTGGTCGAGTGCACAGCGGGGCGGGGCCGAGGCCCCGAGGAGGGGGCTCCCGGCGGTTTCGGAGTCCGGAGTCGGGCTGGGATCGCGCCGGGAAAGCCCAGCGGTTGCAGCTGCGGCGGATCCCTCGGCACCGCCCGGGCTCTAACTTGCCTGTCTTTCAGGAGAGAATTGCTCTACTCCTAGGAGGCTTGGCAAAGTTTGCCACCACCTCCTTCCCCTCTGAGAAAACCCATGCTGGAAGTGCCTCCCACTGGGTAACCTGCGGCACTGGGTGTGGGGTCAGAATTATTCACAGCTGTGACCCTGAGTTAGCGTAATAACTTCGTATAGCATACATTATACGAAGTTATACGAAGGTCCGCCGGCCCGCCCGCAGCCCGCGCCCGACTGGGCGCCCCCTCCGTCCCACACCGGGAGCGATGCCCCCCACCCCTCGCGCCCCCCGGGAACGAGGCGAGCATGGAGAAGTCGAGTAGCGAGGATTCTTCGATCCACCGGAGTCCATCTTTGGACAGCAAGGACTCGGACTTTGCCAAGCCGTCCACCTCGGGCCGCCCGTTCGGCCGCGGCTTCTCGGCCGGCGCCTTCTACGGCACTGCGGGCTCCCGGGGCCAGAGCCGCGCCGAGGCCGGCGTTAAGACCGACAAGTACAATGCACCCAAAGGCAGCAAGTACGTGGTGTTTTACCTGGACCTGTCCTTTGTGTTCCTCCTAGAATTTAAGAAGTGCAACATGGCCAGGGGCTGCCTCTGCTGTTTGAAGTACATGATGTTCCTCTTCAATTTGATATTCTGGGTAAGTCTGCGTTGATCTCTCCCTGTGCCCTCCTCCTCTGCCGACCCTCGCGTGAATTCCCACTCCCTCTTCGGTGCTGCATTGCTCCGCGCTCTGCACAACGGTAAGTGTGTGCGTGCGTGTGTGTGCGTGTGTGTTTCAAAATCATTTTGTCCCCCCTCTTTCGTGCATCTTTCTCTTCCTTTTTCCCTCTCCTTGGTGGCTGAAAGGAGGCTCTAACTTGCCTGTCTTTCAGGAGAGAATTGCTCTACTCCTAGGAGGCTTGGCAAAGTTTGCCACCACCTCCTTCCCCTCTGAGAAAACCCATGCTGGAAGTGCCTCCCACTGGGTAACCTGCGGCACTGGGTGTGGGGTCAGAATTATTCACAGCTGTGACCCTGAGTTAGCCATAGGCACAAGTGAGGGTGGCTTTCTGAGTTTCTTCTTGTATTCCTCCTGAGTGCACAAGAATGCAGGATTTTATGGGAGTGGGATAGTGGAGGTGGGCATAGAGGTTAAATCCTCCCACTCCTCTCAGTGAGTCCAGAAAAGGAGGAGAGCCCCTGTCCCAAGCCAAGCCATCGACTTGCTTGCTAACCCTCAGACATGCCCCCGAGTTAGGGCTTGTGTGGGAAGGAGGGGCATGGGGGATACCACCATCGGGCAGCTGGCGGCTGCTTTTGAGGGATTGCAGTGGGCTGGGCAAGGAGCGGGCTGGCCATGTGCTTCCAGGCTCCGGGAGCCCCAGAGACTGGAAAGGACAAAGGGAGACGATCAGGGGTGCGTCTGTCCTTAGTGAGAGATTATTTTCTAGAGAAGGCTTTAGTGGGTGTGGCAGCTCAGAATTGTCTTCTGTCCTCTTGTGATTCTGGAGGCTGTGTGTGCACAAGAAATACTAATCGAGCAAATATGAAAACTTCTTAAATTCATTTCTGATTGTTCTTTCACCCTAATTGCTGTCTCTGCCTCTCCTCACCAGAACCCAGGCTCAGTCTGCACAGATGTTTGGCTCTGTCCCAGGGTCTGTCCTCCTGGCCGCCGGAGGCTGTCAGCTGCCCGTGGTCCAGGAGGAGCACTGGGGGGCAGGAGAAAGCACTCAGAGTGAAGCTGGGTGGAAACAGTTGTGCTCTGGTGTTTAACTTTTGTGTGGAGCGACCCACGTTAGCTGAACAACTTTTTTGGGTGTGTGTGCCCGGAGGGGGCGACTTTTCCCATGGAAGGGAAAGCTCGGGGCCCAGAGGGAATGGCTTCCAGTCTTGGTTCTGTGTTAGCTTCTTGTGGGACCTTGGGAAAATCACTTTATCCCTTAAGGACCTGTTGTGATGGTCTCCCTCAGTGTCTTTGCCTCATTAATTATGTGACAACCTGGGGAGGGCAGGCACCCCAGTGCACCCTTGTCTTCTCTCTGGGGAGGGATGCCCCCTTCTGCTTCTTTTCCGGGAGACTGGTCTGGGATTATGTGAGTTGGATTTCCCCATGTCTCCATGGGCTGGTCCCTGCAGCTGCTGCTGTTGGGATGTTACCTGTCATGTGGTTAGAGTTGTATGGAAGCTGGGGCAGACATTCAGATTGTTCTCTTGGGTGGCAGGTGGTGGGCGGGACCATTGGAATGTTGAGAACGACTTTGTAGCACCTTGTGGGCAGGTGCCTCCCTTGACTCACTGGCCAGCCTCTGTCAGCCAAGTCCTGCTGTGAATTGCCCCGTGCCTTCGCATCCACATGAATGCTGTCTTTTTCGTTCTTCACAGCTTCCTTCTCTTCCTTTTTCACAGTCTCAACCTTCCCTTCTGTTTTGCCCCACTCTGCATATATTAACGCTTACGAGGAAGACCCTCTGGGGGATGCTGCGGGCCTTTGGTCTGTGACTCCCACTCAGTGGCTCCGCCCACCCCGCCACCTGCTGGTCAGAGTTGGTACAACAGCCTGTGGCGCCTTTCTTCTTCAGGATGGTCCTAACTTGGTTTGGGCACTTCCTCACAGGCTGGCACAGTGGTCTGTGCCCTGCACATAGTAGGCACGCATTGTATGTTTATGAGTGAATGCATAGAGGGCCAGAAAAAAAGAAGCTGCAGCATGTTATGTGGTAGGGATTCCCAAGTCTCACTTGGTTGGGACAAGAAGTTAGATATCAAACTTGCCTCTGATAAAGGCTCTCCTAGCACCTCAGCTGTAGGGTGATAAGCAGCTCTTTTCATCTTCCTTTAAAAGCTTGGCAGAGGCTCATGGACTGGTTGATGAAATGTCCTTCCTTTATGGCCTATAGCGAGAGAACTTGCCGTCTCTTCCTAGTTAGAAGGCACCAACTATGCTCTTTTACCAGCAAGGAGCTGCTCTCTGCTGGTCTCTGACTTTTCTGATTACTTAATATTTTCAGAATTCCCATGACATGCTGTGAGCGGTGAAAAATTGAGTCCTGAAGGCTGAGTTCTTTTATGCTAGTGGCATGTGATACAATGAAATAAAACACAGACCTTCGGAAAGATGGGAAATTTAGCAGGAGAGAAATAGGTGCTTGTGTGTGTGTGTAAGAGTGTTTGCCACTGTGTTTTTTGGGAGGTGGAGGAGCAGGTGTAACAGGGTGTTAGCCAGGATGTGGGGATGGTGGGTCACTGTGTGGAGGGTTCCTGCAGGCAGGTGCTTGACCTGCTGTGGAGGAAGGAGCAGAGGAAAGAGCCAATAAGAACAGGAGGTGTTGAAGGCAGCTGGGTTGTGGATGAGGCAGGGTCCCTGGGATGTTGGGATGAGGCCGAGCCCAGCATCCTGGGACTGGGAGCGATTGTTAGGAATTATGTAGCCGTTACTTGATCTAGTCTTATGGCTCAGATCCCAAAAGGAGGCTTTTCTGAGGCAGTAGAGTTGAACCTGAGGCGGGAATCAATAGATAGAGTTCTTCCCATAGATCCCGGAGCCTACCAGCTAGTTCCCCAAACCCACTGCTGCGCCACACCCCGCCTCCTCCCAGCCCACTGGGAGGACTCCCAGTGAGGAGGAGAGGTGCTGCTCTCTTACACTGCAGCCCCCTTGGGGCGTGCGCGTCCCTGGTTCCTTGCCACTGGGTGGAGCTGCTAGGGTATTGGTATTGGCGAGGGCTGGGTGACATCATGGGGGGGAGTGCAGGGTAGGAGGTGGAGCTGTGTGGCTGGCGCTCCTCCTCCTTAGTAAGAAGAGGGCAGGTGCATTACAGGCTGCTGGGTGCCTGCCTGCTGGTGGGGGTCCAGGTCTGCTCCTGGCACGGCTGACTCCAACCAGACAGTGCTAGCCATGGTGGCACCCCTGTGCACTCTGGGAGTTTGGGGCGCCCAGGAGGGCAGCACTTCTGAGGGCCTGATATAGGTGGTGAGGGTAGAGAAGGGAGAGTCAGTGGTCACTCCTGAGTCCTACCTCCTCTTTGTCCCCTGCGTCCCCCACCCTGATTCTCAGGGACAAAGAGAATGCTGGCTTTTTGGTGTCAGGGAATGAATAGGAGGCCTGAATTGGGATAAAGTTTTTCTGTACTGAGGGTCCTCTTTACACTAATCACACCTACCCCGAAGCATTTCTCCCAGCAGTGGAAACCATGTGGGGCATTTCCCGCAATCAGCCCATCTCTGGGGCCTCCCAGGACCGTCTGGTAGAATACTCCAGGTAGCAACTAAGTGTGAATCTCAGCCCCCCCAGGAGGGCAAGGGAGGCTCAGAGCTTTTACCTATGAGTAGTGGAGAGACAGTGTAGGGCTATAGTGGGCTGGAATGGGGACCTGTGCGTGCTAGGGGCCTGTGTCCATGGACAGCAAATCATGATCCCAGCCCAGCTCCTCCAACCCGAATCAAGTTACTGTCTGATGTGGAGGGGCGGGGGTGGGCTGGGGTTGCTGGCATAATTGCCCCTCAGGATAATGGTCACTTTTCATGCTTGCCAGCAGAGCTGTCCCATCACTTTAGATCATGGCTGTCAGGGCAGTGACATTCTGGCCCCACTGGAAATCCTGGTCCTTGTAGATCACTCCCTTATTAAAGGCCAGTTAGCTGCAGAGGCGGTGTTCAGTGTGCCTGCTGGAGCAGGGCAAGGGTGGAGCAGGGCTGCCAAGGGCAAGGTGCGGATGGGCACCCTGATTAACTTCCCATAAGTGGGGTCAGGCCCCACTCCGACTGTGCGCTGCCTTCGGGGGCAGGCAGCTTGTCCAGGCCTGTCCAGCTGTGATGGTGGCATGTGTTCGGTACTGGACTGGCTGAGTTGTGAGTGTCTCTGTGGCTTCAGACTGGGTTCTGTGCACAGTTGGTGTTGGATGCCCTGGGGTGTTATAAGAAGTCTGTGGGGTGCCTTCTATTGGAAGTGGTGAGTGGGCTCGAGGGGACCCAACATGGGGCTGAGGTTCAGACTGGCCTCTCCATGCAGAGGAGACACGGGCTAAATTGGGCAGTAAGAGGCACTGAGGGGCTTCCCAAGTGCTCAGGTGGGAGGGACTCAGGCTGCCTCCCTGGAGGGCTGCTTGGTAGATCTTTAGGGTGGGTCAAGCATGCCTCTGCTTGGGGGAAGGGGGACGATGAAGGGCCTGGTAGATACTCTGAGACCGCTGGAATGTGGCTACAGGGAATGCCAGCTTTGTGCTCGCTTCCTTTCCAAAGCATTAAAAATTAAACTTCCTTGTCTTAATATCTATTTTTAAATCATGTCAGAGCCAGCACTGGTGTCAGTCAAGAGGGGGTGGGGAGGGAGGAGGGTAGAGAAAGAAAGTCCCCGCTGAAACAGGACAAGCAGCTCTCCCTACTAAGGAAAGGGCCACCGGGCCTCCAGCTGGCCCTCCCCCGCATCTGCCCCATGCGCCTGGCTGCCCTTGGCTGTACTTGGCGGTGGCTCTGCAGCCCTAGGCCTTGTGTGGCTTACTAGGGTGTTGGGGTCCCAGTTGAGTCCATTCACTCACGCCACAACTATTTACTGAATGCCCGCTGTGTGCACAGGAGCCTGCAGTTGCTGAGGACAGGGGCTGCCTGGGTTCACACAGGCAGATCAGTTTTCCCGTGCCAGGAAGTCGTGGAACCAAG